CGATATTTTTAGACCTTTTTTATGATTTATATTTTAGTCAAAAACTAATATTTTTCTGCATTTTCTAATTTTTGAAAGTACATTGAGCATATTTTGTTCAACTGTATTCAAATCAGCTTGTAGTTGGCTTACCAATTCTGTTTTAATTCATGACATATATCTATAAATATGTACATACATACACACACACTAATATTCATTAAAGATTAAATATGAATCAGAATCTGACAGAATGATAAGATAAAGAAAAAAAAGAAATCATATACTAATCTAACATGTCTTACTTTTATTAAAGCTTGACAGAAATTGAGAGAAGACAGAAAAAAATATATTATATTATATATAGTTATTATAAATTAACTGATTTAAAATATGGTTTCTTCACTACACAGGAATTACCATGTTTCAAAAACCGAAGCTAAAAACTTCAAATTTAATTATATAATTAAAAGCATTATTTCTGTTTCATCTTCAAGCGAATATTGGAATGACTTATTTTTGAATTTACTGAGTTTTAAACATACATAAAATTCATATTTTTTTGTTTCCAAGGATACAGAGAAGTCCAATCATATATATATATATATATATATATATATATATATATATATACATACACACACACACACACACACACACATGTATACATACCTGTCTGGGTTTTTTTGCATTACTTAAGATGCGTTCTGAGTAAGATTATGATAGAAGAATAGATGATGTATATACACATGTGTATGTGTGTGTTTATGTTTAGGCATGGTGGAGTAATGGATAGCGGCTTGGATTGAGGAATCGTGAGGGGCCGAGTTCAATTCAAGTCGAATCCATTACATTAACTTACGATGCTAATACCCTTGGGAAAGGTATGAATCCTCTTCCTCTCCTCCAGCTATGGGTAAAATAGCAGGACAGACTGTGTTCTATAGCCTTGGATGGCAACTGGTCTAGGAGAAGGACAACTCTGAATTCAAAACCTGCGGTAGGTCGTTTGGGAACCTTGTGGCACTCGATGCACCAGGTCTCTGTATTCGTCCCTACAAAAAGTGTGGATGGTCCTGCACGAAGCCTTCACCACTATAATCAAATCTCATGTGCCGGTGTCAGGCTATCGGTTTCCTGGAAACTGATCTGCTTGACCATCATACGTCGAATCTCGATGGGAGAGTTGATTATATAATATATATATATATATATATATATATATATATATATGTATGTGCACATGTCTTACTATTTTGGAGGGATTAGAAAGACAACTAAGTGACCAACCTATTAAAACTAATATCTGGTGTGTTTGAGGAATTAGTCACTTCAAAGATCAAACATGTCTCAGCATATATTGAATCCTATACTAAGTTCAGACCAGTGTGCACTCTATTGATGGCACCGATTTTGAGGGTCAATCCAGCAGCAGATGTACTTTTAGGCATGTGTGCGACCACAAACTCACAAGTGAGGGCCAGTAAATACCGTACCCGATGACCACCTCTGATATGAGTAATTGACATGGGGGAGAAACAAAATGATTCTCTGGATGAAATCAACAACAGATCTCAAACTGTGTGGCATAATGAAAACAACATTGAAAATATGAAAAGCAACTTGGCAACGCTAATTAAAAAAAAAAAAAAAACAGCAGACATAACTGGGAAAATAAACAGAAACAGCAATCCTTTATGTGTCCTCTACCTTCAAGACGTGGGTGATCAAGGCTCTCCACAACTTCTTGTCCCATGTAGCTTTTAGTATTGTATCTCTTTTTACCATCCCTCCTTCTCACCGTTCTGCCATTCATATAAGTTTGTTTGGTAGTTAACATAAAGCACAATGCTAGGGATGCTCAGAAAAGATAGTTCTCATGTAGATCCTTTTTCTAAGAAATATTACAGGAGTGACTAAGTGATAAAAATCGAGATGGACTGGATACATAGTAAGGAAGAAAGAAAGGGAGGATAAGAGATGGAGCAAAAGGTTGGTTACACAGTTTGTATTTCAGCTGAAGTTGCCTATGTTCCCTTTGTACTAATAATCTAGGGAAAGGTATAAATATGCATCTTGCAGTGTTCAGGGCTCAAAATTAACTTTGCCCTGGAGAAGACAGAATGTTAGTTTGGGACGAATGTTTAGGATTTTTAGGATGATAAAAAAAATTAATTTAAACAGTATAATATTTAGTCTGAAGTAAATCATTTCTTACAGTAATATAAAATAACCTACAGGTAATTTTGAACTGAACCCTTTATTTAATTGAAAGGGTTAGACTGTTCTCTTTCCACTGCCCATGTCTAGGGATATCTTATCTAGTTTTAATGTTTTTAGTACTGCTCTGTTATTGCTCCTATTTCCACCCAAAGATTGAACTCAGAATTACCACGTCACCAAATTCATGAACCAGCACTTTAGTCCATTAAGCTATCATTATTATTATTATATTGGACCACAGAACAACAGAAAGAGAAACGAGAGGTTATGAGAATGAGAAAGGAAGAAGATATATGACTAGAAAAAAGAACATAATTTGGCGTGAATCACAGGGAGGTAGCAGCAGCAGATATTTTTTTTTTTTTTTTAAATCATTTCACCCCAAGCAAGGCAGAAATGCCACTAGTAGGTTAAAAGGAGTGAAAGTGAGAGAAAACCTAGGTATAGGGAGGATTGAGAAAAGGACAAAAAATGAATGGGATTCAAGAATACTATTCATTTTTTTTTAAGATGATAATTGACATTGCATTTAAATTTTTGAACATTGGAGTTATCAGGGAAGCAAGAGAACGGAAGGGAGTTCCACGGGCGGGAAGTGCGAGAAAAGAAACTGTTGGAGTAGAAGTGGCGGTTATATTTAACAATTTCAACAGTAAAGTGTGGGACCTAGATGACAATCTAGTAACCTTAACGCTCTAAGTTTACTACATCAAATTGTCCAATGGGATAATGACGTACTGGATAAAAGCATTGGTTTGTGAATTTGGTAACACTGGTTGTGAGTTCAATCCTTGGATCGGGCAGTATGTACTTGCATTCAGTGAAAATGTGCATGTAATAACTAAAATAAGGACTAGACATGAGCAGTGTTAATAAAAATAGACTACATAAGGTTTCTTTTTTTTTTTTTTTTTTTTATTTTAACATTTTTGTTCCCCCCACTAATGATTTTAATGGTGTTGTTATTACAAACAACTATAAATGAAAAAATTGAAGAAATCATTTTGATTTCAGGACAATTTTAAATTCTGGCGGATTAAAGGTGTTTTTTGGGATGATTCCGGGACACTGATGAAAAAAATGTCAATATGAAACCACATCATCTTGATTCTTATCTTTGATAATAAAAATTTTTTCCGCCATGCACAGATCACACCGATTGCAGAAATTATTAGGTGTTCTAGCTCTTGATAGGTATCCCCATTTCAAAAGTGGGGTTAATCCCTTATCCACCAGATCCCAGTAGTGTTTGGATAAGAAAGTTTGACTTCTGAGGCATCTATATCTAAAAGAGCGTCTATGGTTGTATAGATGCTGCTTCCAATCACCGGTGGATATACCTATATATCTTTTTTTCTCGTTTATATTTTCCTCAGGAAAGATTGAGGCAATTTTAGTTTCCCCTGCCCCATCTCTCTCCCCCACCACTTCTTTTCTTTTCTCTCCCTCCCTCTTATTCCGATCTTCAACATTAGATCGTCTGTGGTGTGTGTATGTCACCACAAAATGTATCTTTAATGTATTAGACATCCGACAACATTCATATTTCCCCCTTCCACTCACCTCTAGTAAAAAAAACCCTCTCTGTTAAGTTTTAATCTCCCACCTTCTCTCATCTGTTACCCCTCTCTTTAGCTCTAACATTCGTCCCACACTCTCATACTTACACTCTCTCTAAATTCTATTTTTATTTCCGGAGTTATTCTTTTCTGTTTTCTTTTTGAATTTGTAGGTCTGATGAATTGGATCGTATTTACGATTCCAATGGAATAAATTATGACCATGGAATATTAGTGTTTAAGCCTTTTTATTATATATATATATATATATATATGCCTGATATTGCATTCAGGCATGAAACTGTTGCTGCTTAGTGTTGATCTCAGTATCCACTTTTATATTTACGTACACTATCTTGTATATTGAGCACATTTACTCATAAACATAATGTACCATAACACAATATTCTTATTATATACTGTATTTTCCAGCTTACAAGATGCACTTTTCCCCCTAAAAATACCCTGAAAAATATATGTGCATCTTCCAAGAAAAATGTAAGGCAACACCCAGGCAGTTTGGACAGTCACCTAATAGGCTTGACTGATAGGGATGTTGATTTGTACGTTGAGTCATTACACTATAATGTTAGCTATCTAATTCAGCCTTTTATATGCTGTAACCTCAGTACTTGGCTGTCACAAGTATTTCCAAGACTATAAACCTTCCTGGAGCCGAGCCACAAGCTTAAACATGCTCTGTATTTGTAGCAGCAGTGAGAGTCTTTCTGCTCTTGACTAATATGTCATTGCCATACAAACAAAATCAAACAAGTAATTAATGTGAACAATACATGGTGCCAGAATGTGAGGGACACATGGTGAGTATGTTGTTGTATGAGTGACTTTTTTTCTTAGAAATTTCTTTCTAATATTAGGGTGCGTCTTCCAAGCTGAAGCATTTTATAAGCCAGAAAATATGATATATATATTTCTTATGAATGGACTCAAAAGACATTCTTCAGAAAATATGTATGAAGAGTTGCAGCTTGCCCTGATTTTGGCAAGAGAAAAATTGGAAAATATAGATTTTGAAAATCCAAGCAAAGTCCATTTCAGGTTACGTTTTGGATAGCAATGGCTTATGGAACATTCTGATTAATGTCAATAATCTACAAATACCCAAAATTGGTTGTGCTGTTATTCATTGGAGAACCAGTGTCATCTGGAATCAGAGATTTGAGTATTGAAAAATTCAAAAACCGCATAAAAACAAATTAAGAGTGAAACCAAACTTACTCAGTCCTCCTGTAATCACAGTCACGCGCAGATTAATGACTTTCCCCAAAACTTGGAATTGTTCTCCAATTTGAAATGCCAACTCCCTGAAAAATTGGAGTTTAGAAAACTGATTGAACATAAATATCTCATGCACAGGTGTTGACAAAAGAAAAAAAAAAAGGATAAAACATGCAACAAATAAACAAAAAAAAAAACACAAAAAAAGAACGAAAGTTATGTGAAAGCTCTAGGAAAACAATCAGGTGAAGTAAATTTATAAGGTAAATTATAAATGATGATTCTTCTTTATAGGCGATCATGGCTCTCCATAACTTCCTGCCTGTTGTAGCTTTTAATAAACTTTAACTTCGTTATTTCTCCTAAACCCTGTTCCACCATCAATTTACTCAAGCTCCCTGTTATGCAGTGTTTTCTTCTGTCCATCTTGTCTTCAATTTGTCCTGTGAGTATCAGATTCTATAAACCCTCTTTCCTCATTATGTGTCCTTGAAATCAGAACTGTCTTTTCCTGATGTTAAGTGTATGTTATCTTTTTGTTTCCATTTTCTCTAAAACTTTCTCGTTGCTCATCTTTGAGGAGATTGTCCAACATTTACTGCCATACAGGAGGATAGATATCATGTAACAGTTCAGTAATCTTTTTCTTGTTTTTAGCAAAGTTTTTCTGTTTCTTAATACCCTGCTTAGCTTTTAGAATGCATCTTTGGCTATCCCAATACACCTTCAGATTTCAGTGTCACACTTTCCGTCCATTATCACGTTTTCTCACTTGTTTGACATTGACATTTCTAATTTGCATTCATCTTTTTGCTAATAACCATGCATTCTCTCTTTGCAGTTGATGTTTAGTCCTTTCTTCTTGCTTTCCTTCACTATCTTCTTTAAGAGTTTTTGGAGTTTCTTTCAGCATCTGCAGTCAATATTGTGTTATCTGCATATCTAATGTTGTTAAGGTTGTAGCCACCATTAATGAATCCTGGTAGGTGTATATGTTGAATAAATCCAGTGAGAAGACACATCCTTGTCTTACACGCCTTTCTATTTTTGTATATCTGCTGATAGTAAAGGGTCTTGATTATTATATCTTTCCCAAATATGTCAAGGTTGTACCATACTTTATTGAACACCTTTGCCTAATCTATAAAACACATCTACACTTCCTATATATATATATATATATATATATATATATATATATATATTTAAAAAAAATATGATTCCAATGCTATAAAAAAGTGAACATAGAAGTCAACACTTAGAGGTGATAGTCTGTTTCATGCTAGCATGAAAACAGACTGTCGCCTCTAAGTGTTGACTTTATGTTCACTTTTTATATTTACACACACTCTGTCTCTGATATTGAGCACTTTATCCCATAAATATAGTACATCTTAAGACTATATTTCTCATATATATATATATATATAAATTAATGGATAAAGTCAAAGAAAACTGCTGGTTTTTATCTAAGGTATGATCACTAAAATTGTTTCCTCTCCTAATTTATAGACAAATCCTACAGATGCATGCTGGGATTTCTTCCTCACCAATTAAAATGGACAACTTCATGGTTTCTTTTTGTAGTCAGAATTCTACAATACTTTCTTCCATTTTGAACTTTTTGCCTTATTACTACTGTTTTGCCTTGTTTTGATTTGCATATATATATATATATATATATATATATATATATATATATATATTGTTTGCTAAGTATTATTTTTTGCCCTGTTCTTTTTCTTCCTTTTCTTATTGTTTATTGAGAACTTTGTCAATTCCATTTGTTTAGCATTTTGCCAATTTCACTTAACCATGGCCAATTACTCCACAAAAACATTGAAGCTATTTTCAACTCGATTAGCAGTGCAAATATGACACCCAACTGACACATTTTATATTTTTTGAGATACACCTATGTATTTATCAAGAGTTACATAAGGGTAGATAATTACAATCTTCTTTTATCATCACATTCCCTCCAGCAGTTTTATTTATTCATAGGGGATAAGTCTTCCCAACGACCAGGCGTCTTCAGGGTACTTTGGGATCTTAGGGCCAGCTCATTTCTTGTAAATATAGATCAGATTCTGATGAGGTACTTGGCTTTCAACCTAGAGACTTTGGCCTGAAGTGCTTTCACCTTCATTGGGACTTGGGCTGTTTTGTTTCTAAATAGGAGTTATCAGAATGAGCCTATTTCTGAGGTACCGACCGTTCATTTTAATGTCATGCAATAAACTTTCTGTTTGCTGGCTCCAGGCTATCTACATGAGGTGTGTGCTGGGTGATGTCAGCAAAGATATTACGCACACAGTTGTGCCTTTAGAACAGACATTACATGCATCCATGCGCTTATAGGAAAAAGATTATATTCACACTTGTACCTTTAGAAAAGGGAGCATCCATATGCTGCTACCATTGGAGAGGAAAAACGATATAGATGACTTTACATCAGAAATAATAAGTCGACACAGTTGTCAGTGAAAAAAGGAACTATGTGCCAACTGCCATCATTAGAAAAGGCAAAGTACAGAAAATAAAAGTTTACCACATGTAAACAAAATATCAGACATAAAAGATTATTAATTTGCATTGTGCAGTCACATCAACCTCATTGTTCACACTCCACTGATGCTGAAGTTGCACAGAAGCCAATGTCAAAACCTTCCTCTTCTCATATTCATAATATACAGAATTAACGAGGCATACCAATCAACCAGTTTGCACTAATTAACTTACAGCACCTACTTACACCTAATGAGAATGACTAGCACATTTTAATGATCAATAAGTCAAAGCTTGAACAATTGGAAATCAGTAACGGTAGAAAAGGCAGCTGCTACTTAAATAAGTCATACATACTACTGCTCAACAAAGAATAAGGAGAAAAATTGAAAATCTATCTACTCAAAGATACACTGATACACATCATATGCAATCTTCCAAAAGACTGGTTCAAAAATTAAGTACAGAGTTGTACAATGGTTATAAAAAGAGAAAAACAGAATTGGCAAAGCAAGTTCTAATCCCAACTGTGGCTAATTTTATTTTTTTTTTAATGTCATGTCACTTCAGGACACGAGTGACTATCAATGACAATCTGAAGAATCCTGTTCCCTTATCTAGAAATTGCCAGGTGATACTATATATGAAGAAATAGTTTTAAGGTGTGCTATATTTATGGGATAAAGTGCTCAATAGCAGAGATAGAGCATATGTAAATATAAAAGTGAACATTGAAGCCAACACTCAGAGGCGACAGGCTGTTTCATGCTAGACACAATCATCAGGCAGCCTGACGATTATGTCTAGCATGAAACAGCCTGTCACCTCTGAGTGTTGACTTCAATATTCATATATATATGTGTGTGTGTGTGTGTGTGTGTGCATCTCAGAGGGACCCCTTGTTTCCTGTTTAGGATTGGGTTTCTGTTTCCTTCTAAAGTCTACTACAACTCCATACTTTTAACATTCAGACTGAAGTCTGAAATGTTATTCACTAATTAAATCTTGACTTCTTCAAGTCTAGAGTTAGCCATTATCTTTACTGTATAGACCCCCTCCAAGAACTTCACTTCCTGCCCTTTCTTATGCTCATACAACACTTCACATTAACCCTCTACCTTGAGTGGCTTTTGGTCCTGAAAGGAAACTACATATAAAAGATAATAGTTTTGTCATCTTGCTGGTGTTCAAACATACATTAACCACGTGAAGGCTACAATTTAAATGTAGCAACCCACTTGAAGATCCATTTGTCTGTTTAACACCATATCAACTCCCTATGAATAATTTAATGCAAAATTTAATTTTTTTGGAAGTAATAAAAATATTATATATGTTATTCTGCTTTCACAATTGAATACATGGTAGATGATACTCAGCTTTTGTATTTGTGTGGATATGATTACTAGAGGCAGTGATGCATGTTTTATGCTGTGGTTTTGTTAAAGTTATATTGAAGAAATTGTTGTATATTACAAGGCTTAATGTCATGAAAGATCTTTTATATTGATTGTTTGATAGTTGTGTGAAGGGTGAAGCCACTACAATTTGTTATATATTTATGTATCATTGGTAATTTTTATATATAAAAATATATTGCTGGTATTTTTTTTTATACTTTCATAGTGTTATAGAGTAGTTTCACAGTGGAGGCTTGTATTTCACTAAGTCGGTCCTAATAAGGTTCGACGTACAATAACGTTAGGAACTTGTTCTAATAGTTAATGATGCAGCAATCTAGTTGTGGTGGCTGATACTTTAATGTCCGACATCGACTGACTCACCAACTCACTCTGAGCTCATTGGCGACTGCTACTACTTATTATATGTGGGAGAGTCTATTAACAATAGAATAGGTATGTTCCAGTATAACACATAGTATTTTGTTTTTTTTTTTTGGTGTGGGGGGATACTATTTGCCCATAACTTGGAACCTAACAAGTGCTACTACCTCTGGTCAAGGTGGACCTGAGAACAACAGCAATTAAGAGATGGTTTCACACTTTTCAAAACCTTCCAATCTACCAGACATAGTTTATCATCATACCCAGGAATCTCACTTGAAGATTCTTGAAGGTCTTTTCATGAATCCCAAGAAGGTATCATTTTAATGGTTTTTACATTGCACACTTTGTTAGATCTTGCCTCACTGTTTTCATTTATATGCAAATGTAACACATCATAACTAAATTTTCTTTTTTTTTTTTTTTTTTTTTTTTTTTTACCCTCGATAGGGATGGGGGAGTAAAATTGCTAAAAACTTAAAATTTCCTAGTTTCTCACAAGATTTGTCTGTGGTATTCTCATCTCCAGTAGAATCACATTGCCTTCACTTAATTTGCTTTGAAACTATCCCAAATTTATTGCTATATAGGAGGGGAGACTACATAGCAGTTCAGTACTCCTTTGTTGTCTCTAAGAACAATATTTAATGCCTTATTACCTTGCTTAGTTTCAGCAAAGCATCTTTCACTATTCCTATATATATTCAAATTTGAGTCACAATTTATATTTTCTATTTCTATAGTACCCAGATTGTTTATTTACACTATTTATTTGTTAGACTGTTTATTGGTACAGTTGGCAAAATATTGCCTAATTGCTAATCCAAAA